GGCCCTGCCTCTGGGACACTCTGAGCCAGCAATTGAGACTGGGTGTGGTTGCTCTCACCTGTAATCCCAGCTCTTGGGAGGCTGTAAACAGGCAGATCACTACGAGTCCGATCAGGTAGTGAAAACTTGAACACCCTGTAGACCCTTCCCATATATAATAAAAATGCTACCCAGTGTCTTCTCTCTATATTGGATTTTACATGAAAGATGCATGTTATTATTTTTAAAAATCATTTATCTATTTATTTAGTACAGGGTCGTACTAGACTTGTAGTAGTCCTCCTGTCTCAGGTTCGCCAGTGCTGGGATTACAGGTGTGTGTCAGCATGTCCCTTTCAGGGCAGCAGAGTTCCGGGGCTGACATGGCATGTGTAACCAAGGATAGAACCTGGGTCCTTGCAGTTGCCAGGCAGGGGCTTACACTGACAAACTATTTTCTCAGTCCCAAGATGCACGTTATAAAACCTACTGAAGTCCTTGTTGGCACCTATATTACATTAAGTGTTGAATCATCCTCTCTGGTAGGAATCTTACTTGACTTTTAGATATTTGGCGGCTGTTTCAGATCAGACTCATAGTGAGTCTCCTGTTTTTAGCCTCCCAAGCGCTGGGATTACTGGTGTACACCGCCACGCCCAGTCTCAGTTGCTGTCTCAGCGTGCCCCATGAGGTGGGGCTGGCACAGCTTGGGGATGGAATCCCGCTCTCTGGGTCTGCCTAAACAGGGGCTTTAATCTGCTGAGCTGTCTTGCGGGTCCTGTAGTTCCTTTGCTAATCAGCTTTATATTGCCTGGGATTGGATCTTGACACTGCCTTTCACAAGGCAGGAAGATTATCTGACTTTCCTGTGCCTCATTCTCCTACTTTGTAGAGGCAGTGCTCCCCTCTTAGGGTTGTGGGGACTGAGACATGGTGCACACAGTGCTTAGAGATAGGAAGTGCTTGTTGTGTGGTGGCAACTGTTTGGACCTTGTGGGACATTGTACCCAGGGAGCCTCATGAATTTATCTTGTAGTTTGGATGACTTTAAGGTGTTTTGTTTTGAAATAATTTAGTGAAGGATCAAAAGCAAAAAGCTAGCATTGCTACAATACCAAGAAGTCAGCCAGGGGCCAGCAAACATTCTTTTGTGACTGACCGCATGAGTTCTGGACTAGAGGGAAGCAAGCAGGGTGGCCTAGATGCCAACCTGAGAAGGCACTAATTCTCAGGGTTGCACACTAAGAAATCAGACGTGAGCTTGTGCCTTTGCGCAAAGGGCCAGGAGAGAATCTCCTTGAGCCTAGATGTTTTGCTGTTGGTCCGAGACAGCAAATATTTACACTTTGCAGGCTAAAGTTCTCTGTCACAATTACCTCATTATACCATTCTGAGAAAGCAGTGCATGGCTGTCTTCCAACAGAACTATTAAAACAAGGCCAGCAGGCCAGATTTAGCCTGTAGGACAGCATCAATCAATCCCTGAGCTGGACACTTTGATGAGAACTTTTTAGTTATTTTACTGAATGTACATTTGCCTTTGCTATTTTCTCATGGTTAAATTGAGGTTATTCATTTCTAGAAGTGACATCACAGAAGTGATGCTGTTCCTTCCTGGGGTATGTGAAGTGGTTATGTTGACTTTGATTTCATGATGAAGGTGGTGTCTTTTTTTTTGCCTTTTTGAGACAGGGTCTAGCTATGCAGTTCAGGCTGGCCTTGAGCTTACTTTGTAGCCCATGCTGGCCTCGAACTTGTAACAATCCTCCTGCTTTAGCCTCCTGAGTGCAGGAATTACAGTTGTGTACCACCATACCTGGCTGCAAATTGTGGAGATTTTTAATCAAAAAGTAGTCTGGAAGGCTGGTGAGATAATTCAGTGGACTAAGCACCTGCTTTGGCAAGCGCAAGCTCTGGTCCCACATGCTGTGTTGGCTGGGATGCGCTGAGCCAGTGCACAAGTCCGGATATGGTGGAGCACCCCTGTAATCTCAGCGCTGGGGAGGCTAAAAACAGGAGGATTATTACAAGTCTGAGCTGTGTAGTAAGACACCGTACCAAGTACATAAATCAAAAACAAAAACAAGAAACAAAAAATAATCTGGGCTGAAGATATAGCTCAGTGATAAGGGTCCTTGCCTAGTATGTGCAATACCTTGGATTACATCCCATGACAAAAAGCTATAAAGTAAAGGCTTTATAATAAATAAGTTATAAATTATAGCGTAGTAATTCAGGGACTATCAGTCCTGAATACTGAGTGATGCCTATGTGTCCTTGGAGAATCCAGTAATAGGAACACATATTTTATATATTTGAAGAAATTAGGCCATTTTTAATGTTTGAACGTTGTCTATGCCACTTCCCTGTCACTGGGACCAAAACCCTGAGACCTGCAGTTTAAAGGAGGGGTTTGCTTTGGTTCTTGGATTCAGTCCACCCACGGCCAACTCCAAGGCGAAGGCAGGGCAGTGGAACAGTGGGGCCGGAGGAGCAAGAGCTGCTCAGCTCAGGGTGGCCAGAAGCCCAGTGGTTAGCGCCCCTATGGGGGGTGCGCTGGCGGGCCAGCTCTGGCCTGTGCCCGTGCACCCGTGAGTCCCCAGTGAGTGAGCCCACATGAACACCAAGTATACTGAATTAATCCGTGTTTTGGGCCAATGTTTAAAAACAGTAGCAAGGGCTGGGGAGATGGCTC